TGCGATTAGGCGTTTTAACTTTAAGTTTAAGCCTAAGTTTGACTTTGGTCAACATTCTGAGTAAGCGCGCTCAGATGAGAATTACCTCAGTGCGGTTAGCTCCGGAATGTCGAATTTGGTCTACATTGACCCTTCTTTTGTGTCCCGAGGTTTTCGATATCTTTTCGAGCCCTTTTGTGGGTTTTGACTTAAAATGGCTTTTGGAAGTGGGACCCACTTTTTATTGAGATGACCTTTGATGGAAATTTTGACTGGGCCGTTGAGTCCGGAATATTGAATTTGGTATGGTTGCATATCACGTTTGTGTGCACAGGGTTCCGAACGAGTTCGGAGCACCCCGTCGGAGTTTTTAAGTTTGGGAAATATTGCAAAAAATCTGCTATAAATGTAGAAAATCAGAACAATTTTTCAAACCTTCAAACTCTCATAACTTTCTCATCTTTTATCCGAATTAGGCGATTCGAAGTGCAGGAGCTTCGTATTTTCGGTGGCTTCGCTGTAGAGTGCTCGGAAGTTTCTGGGTGCACGTAGTTCGAGGTAATTTCGCGATTAACCTGACTGCAGTTCCTTTTTCGAGCCTTTGTTTTTGGCATTCTTGTTTTGGTCATATCTCTTTCATTTTAGCTCGGTTTTGGGTGATTCGAAGTCCCACGTGTTGAGAATTGTTGAGACTTTGTCATAGAGTGTTCAAAGAGTGTTGGGAACCTTTCGATTCTCGTTTATTCCGAGTTTAGACTGCTGCTGTAGGTTTTCTTTTAGTTGATTTAAAGTGTGGTTTCTTGCTTGTTGGTTTTTGCTTTGTTTTGAGCCTCGAATTGTGTTCCATTTTGAAACACAAGTTTGGGGTGCCGTTTAGGATCTCTTGACGGAGTCAAATTCGGACAGTTCGGTGCGGATCCCACGAGTCCCGTTTTGACTCCAAAATTGACATGTCACCGTTTGTTGTGATTTTGGTGTCTAAACGACCGTACTAACGTTGTGACTCTATTTTTGATTAGCGGGGCAGCGTTTCGAGGTCGTTCGTATAGGGAAAGCTCCCAGTAAAAGTGATTTTGGAAGAGCGCGTGATCGGCCTTAAGGTAGGCTACGACTTCCTTTCTTTTAGATTGAGCTTAATTGTGTAAAAGCATGTCGATTGGAGCGAAGTTGGGGGTGGGTACCAATTTCCTACCTTACTTTGATTAGATACCTCATGTTAGGATCGATTGGCCATATTTCGGGTATAGTATCATGTTAACCGGTTTAGTAAAGTTGTATGTTTGTATGCTATGTGTTGTATGTTTTGTTCATCCTTAACCGTAAGCATGATGTCCTTAGTCTAGGTTAGGCTAGCATTGTCTTAGTCTTGTGACCCGTGTGGGCTGGATAGCCTTGACTTTCTGCCGACGTCGTTCGGATGACTTAGCTTCCTGTAGACTTGAGTCTGATAGTTTGAGCCTTAGATTAGGCGTTATTGCTTCTTGTTGTACTTATGTATCTTCTCCCTTTCATTCTGCGGTTCCGATGCATTCTTGAAGGTCTGGTGCATCACTAGAGGTGCGGGATTGAGATAGTATAGGCTTGGAGCCTTTTATGTGATTCTTAGAGTGGACGGTGTTCCATGGTGGTTGTTGTTAGATTGGATCCTATTAGAGATACCATCACCCCTGGGGTCGTTCTTTCTAGCTGGGCTGGGAGCGTATCGCTGGCTAGGTAGACTCGGTGATATCGGCAATCGCCCCGGGCCTCTCTTTCTAGCTGGGCTGGGAGTATGCTGCTGGCTGGGTGTTCCCGGGTCGCTCTTTCTAGCTGGGCTGGGAGCCGACTGCATGGTAGGACGACTCGCGATATCTACCTCACTCACGGGTCCCTCTTTCTAGCTGGGCTGGGAGTGGACTGTTGGTTGGTGCCCCCTAAAGTCACTTTTCTAGCTGGGCTGGGAGTGCACTGCTGGCTGGATGGAGTCTGATGGATTATCTTAGTTACTTTGGGCTGGGAGCCCGATTTTCTTCTTTCTCGGTAGACTTAGCTTTTCTGTGTACCTGTCGGGCTTATGAGGGTCCGTTCAGGTTTTATTTGAGCTTGCGCACGAGTGTACCTTCTGGGCATTTGGGGGTCCAGTTAGGTTTAGTTTAATGTACTTAGTTTGTTTCTAGTATGCTCGTGTGCTTTCTTTTCATATCCACTTTGACCTCTTTGTGTCTAGATTCTATCCTTTCTTATTGTTTTTACCCCTTTTTTGCTCAATCTGCCTATGATGCCTACTGAGTACCTGTTGTGTTGGTACTCATACTACGCTCTGCATCTATTTCGTGATGCAGGTCCCAGTACCAATTATCAGCGGTGAGTAGTTCCAACCTTCTTTTGCAGTTGTGACTCGGAGACGAGGGCGAGCACTTGGCGTTTTGAGTTTGTTCTGTCTCCTTCTTTTGGTTTAGCTAGTTTTGTTGCTTTTGAGACACGCTCTGTTGTGGTCCACTTTTGGGACTTGTATTCTTTATTAGATTGATTGATGTTCTGGGTTACGGGTTGGCTTACCTACTGGTAGGATATAGTAGGTGCCATCATGACTCGAGAAATCGGGTCGTGACAGGATTCTTGTGACTTTAATTCATATCCAATTTCATTCCCACATTAAAGAATTGATCCTTTCACTTAAGAGCAAATATAAGAATCATCTGATACGACTTTACACGCAAATGAAGAATGGTTCGGGACTTAGCTTAGAAATATTTGGGGTGTTACAACTTTGTCTTAAGATAAAATGTTCTTGAAATGTAGTGTATGTACCAAAAATACGAATATTATCAAAGGATCATATATAAGCTTAATAAATAGTTTGATCCCGAAAAAAAATAAAAAATAAAAATAGTTTGATCCAGTGCGAAGCACGGATAATTTACCTAGTTATTAAATATAATACTCCCTCTGTTTATTTTTACTTGTAACATTTTGATTTGGCACATCCATTAAGGAAATAATTAATGATATATATTTTATCAAATTATCCCCTATTAAATGATGTCTTAGAAATAATTTGAAAAATAAGTATTTGATGTTAAGGGTAAAACATAGAAAAAGTATTATCCTTTCTTGATATGTCAAAAGTGACAAATAAAAATGAAAATTTATTTTGGGAATAAGTAACGAGTAAAAGTAAAAATAAGAATTATATATTCCATGAATTAAGATAGACAAAATTTCTCCAAACCACAAACTATATACTCTCAACGCAAGAGAAAAAATAAAATAAAATTGAGCCGTGGGGTATTGTTGGGCTGTGTACAGCCCTCAAAAGAGACAATTCAGACCAGACGTTATTTTATAATAATAAATTCTGTCATAAAAGGAATTTTTGGACAAAGTAGCCTTCATATACATGCCGGATAAAATTCTATTTCATTCTTAATTAAAAGTTTTGAGTATGAATTCTGAATATGTAAAAAAATTTGTATTCCAAATAAGTTCGGCCGTACATGATTTATATTATATTTAGTTCGAGCTCCAATATAAACTTCATCGATAAAAAACCAAAAAAGAAAGAGATATATGCCCATACCCTACTGGACCACTATTCCCACTACAAGCAAATTCCCTTGCCAAAAGGCTCGTAGCCTTAATTTAGGCTTCTACCTCGTTGACTTAAATTATAATTTTTTATTAAAAATATTTTATAATTATTTTATAAATATATCGATGGTGAAAAAGTAAAAAATAATAGTAACATTTATATATGAAAAACTGTTTTTCTCAATGAATGAATTCTGTGAAAAATAAATAGAAATAATTATATTTTATAATATAATTTTTTCAGTTATTCATTATTAAAAAAATATTTAAGTTTAGTAGTGTGTAATTAAAAGTGGAGATTGTTTTACCTAAATCCCGACATTATTTCAATTTATGCAAAAATAAATAAAAATGGAGTAGTAGTGTATTTGTGCCAGTTAGTTTTACGTCTCATTTTTTAATGCCCACTGCCTTATAAGTTAGATCTATCATTTTCTGTGACCATGATTGAAATTTCTTATATTATTAATTAAAAGTAAGATCCTTTTGTAGGAAGTGATTTTACTTTTTTAGCTTATTTATTTAACGTAAATTTAAATTAATTGAATCAGTGAATACAAATACACACAATTAAACAAAACAAAGTTAAATTTATCTACTTTAGTAAGTGATATTTCGCTTAAAATCTTGAAATTCAAAAGCAAACATTGTTAATGCGTTATTCTAGGATTCAGATTAATAAGTATATATAGTCCAAAAACAATGATTAAATGACCAATTACCGACATTTATGGGATCTTTACATCAGGTTTTATGACTAAATACTCTTTCTGACTCATTTTAGTTGTCCTAATCATTAAAAATAACTGGTCAGTATTGAATCGAGATAATGTGTTATATTGTGTTGTCTTATATTATTTTAATGATATTTTGTATTGTTTTTCATCGTTATATAATATCATACATTGACGAATTGAATGATAGATCTAAAAAGAAAATAGGGTTCGAGGTAGAGATACTTACTATATACGAAAAAGTAGGGTAAAAGATAAAATAAGATTATTAAATAATAAGTAAAGACAAATTAAAATACGTAGAAAATATAAAGATAACGCTACAATCACATAAAATTGAGTGGTATATCTAATGAAAACATTATATTTAAACTAATAATACAATACAACATGTAACAACCATCCAAACAAGGTGTTGGTTAGTAATATTTTCAACGTATTAAAAAAAATATGAAAAGTAAAATGGACAGGAGGAAGTATCTAGGTGGTACTAAGTTACTAATTAATTAATGAGGACCCTTAATTTAATGGTCAATCTTGACTAGCTAGTCAATGGTTTTGAACATTGACTAGCTAGTGTCAATGTTCAAATATACTCTTTATCATAATTCATATCATATTAAGTTTAAGATCATCATAATCATCTTATAAATACTTAGTGCAGCTAATTCATTAATATAAAAAAGTTGGTCCTTCTTATTATTCATTTCTCCCTCTATGGCAACTCAACAACTTGAGTCCAAATGGGAAGGCAAATTCATTGCAAATCTAAAACATCCCAAAGCTGAACAAGTATGGCCACTCCTTGAAGATTTCTGCAACTTCCACCATTGGCTACCAAACATTGACGCATGTCACCAAATGAATAGTGATAATAAAGATGAAATTATCCGCTATTGCGCTAGCAGTACCAAGCCCCCATCGTCATCAGACGATGGAGAAGCGATCGTCAAGTGGTGTCACGAGAAGTTGTTGACAGTTGATAAGATAGAGCGATGTCTAAGCTATGAGGTCTTAGACAATAATATTGGAATCAAGTCTTATGTATCTACGTTGAAAGTATTGTCATCGGATGGTAATGATGAGAGCAGGTGCCAGATTGAATGGTTGTTCGTTGCTGATCCAATTGATGGGTTGACTTTGGAATTATTTTCGGGTTATGTTGACTCATCCCACAAGGCATGGCTGAAAATATTGAGAAAGCTTTAGAATCGTCTAAGTTAGGTGATTTTGCGAGTTCTAATTAATAAGCCTGTTAAATATGATGATGAGTAATAAAAGACCTGTATGCAATATTTTAATTTGGATTAGACAGGTATGCAGTGTTTTATTTTGAGAAAATGGATAGTAGTTTACTGATTGCTGCTCCCTCTATGTGACATATTAGTATTATTTTTAATTTGTTCTAAAAAGATATCATACAAAAAGATGTACTCAGGTTTGGGTCGCAGTTCAATGATATTTTTAGCTTAAAACTTATCATATCAAATACAGAATCAAGACTAATTCTTGAGTACGAGCCTGGTATAATGGTTCTTTCTACTAACGTTTAATTGATAGAAAAATCGGAGAAGCAAAATAATATTTACCAAACATATCAGTTGTAGAGAAGATTGTGTTGTGTTCATAGAATACATAGTAGTGGCCAACGAGTCTAACGATCAGCCAACAGAGGCAACACTAATTTTTTACTACTACACACTATACAAGCTTAGATAATTGGAATCATCTTTCTGATTCCATTGGAGAAGCAGGAAGCTAAAAATAAAGTAGGATACCTGATCAAATAAATAAATATAACAGCATCCCCTTGATCAATCAAAACACTAATTATTTAGAAAACTAGCACTGACTATACACATTTTCAAGATTGCCAGAATCTAACTTCTTGTGCATCCAATCAATGATATCCTGGGCAATTTCTTCACGCTCAGGCTCGAATAGAAGATCGTGCAAGAATCCATCATAAAGTTTAATGTCCTTGAATTCAGAAGCAGCCTCATTGTACAAATCTTGAGAAGCCAATGGATCAGTGACTCTATCAGCAGATCCGTGAAGGACTAAGAATGGGACAGTGACAGACTTGAAGTTCCTCATCAAGTAATAGGAGATGCGCAGAATCTCATGCCCTGTCCTCACCCTCAAAGGCCCAGTATACACTAGAGGGTCAGAATACTTAGCCACCAGTGCTGCAGGATCCCTTGAAACAGGGATTCCCCTTTTGTGAGAACCTTTGAACTGGTACCTAGGTGCAACCAATGAAAAAATTGGTGCCACAGCCTGCATTTGGATAACAAACACAAAGTTAGAGAGTGCATGGAAAGAAGACACTGCTGTGAAAAAACATTCATCAAAGCATACGAAAATAACCATATAAAAAAAAGGGTAGGCGCCTTACACTAACAATAGGATTTGCAGGTTTCACACGCAATGCTGGTGAAGTCAATATGATGCCCTCCAGCATGTTTTCAATGTGTGGATAAGAAGCTGCCTGTGCAAGGGAGCAGAATAATCAATGAATACTAAGGGTCTCAGAATGGTTCAAGTTAACTTCACTTCAAAAGCTTTACCTTTAAGACCACCGCTCCTCCCGTTGAATGACCAAAGAGGAAGCATGGTATACCAGGGTTCTCAAACTTGACCTTTTCCAAGAAAGCCCCCTGTATAAACATGAAAAGAAAATAGTAGGTAATTTGGCAGGCCCTATGGATGAGGCAAGACAACAATGAAAGAAATATGAATGTAGAATGAAGATCACATTTTCAGCTTGTTACTTAGGAGTGGATATCAAGTTCAAGAAAATAATTGGAATAGAGTCCTCAACGAGAAGAGTTCTGATATATGGCAGAGATGGAGCATGAAATATAAAAACAGTGACAACTTACTGTGTCTGCCACAACATGGTCCAAAGATGGCACATATCCATGTAATCCATCACTCCCTCCATGCCCTGTCACACAGAACAATTCTCTGTCATTTGTTAATAAGTGTATTAACCATCCACTTTGACTACTAGCATAGTCAATCATAACAATCAGCTCAGAGAAGCTTATTTAATTATCCATGAACCCAGAAGATATAGCAAGACATACTTAATGCATGTAGCTCAAATCAACACATTTTAGAAGAAGAACAAACTTTGTGAGGTACCTGTGAGAGAAGTATAATCCTGATAAGAGGCTATCTAGTAAAGAAGCATCAGGGAAAGAAGGACCAACTTCATCCACGGAAAAGAAATTAAAGAAAGGACCACCAAGGAAGAGACACAATGAGAATGAAAATTGATGAAGCTATACACACACTTCCATAATTGACCTTTTGGTAGCCATTCAAACGACAAGGCGAGTTTGTTTTAGCATCCTAAGAATGACCGTTCTTTCACATGATTAGGATGAACTACTAGAATGTGTGATCATAAAGAGGTCACTACAGGAGCTCTAACCAATTTAAACAAGGTCTTCAAAATGAAGGATAAAAGTACCTATCCAGTCCATTGCATACACCCCAAAGTTGCAGGAGTTCAGTTGCCTAGCAAAATGAGCATATCGTCCACTGAAATGAAATATAAAAGGAATATTGTCATCCAACTAGTTAAGCCAAGTCATAAATAAACATTGTACTGTATTCAATACTGAAATGAGAGGCTTAAACAACTCAATTTAGCAAAGACGCCTATTCTTAAAAAAAAACAGCTGTCCCTCCCCTCCCAAATTTTTTAAAAAAAAAGTCAATAAACAGTTACCTGTGCTCATTCAGTCCATGGATGATGATAATTATGCCCCTGAAACGAAAAATCCAGCCATTAAGAAACAATTAAAGAAAAACACTAAAAACATTAAAAAAGAGATAGCCAATTTATAGCAGATTAGCAAACACAAATATCAGAATTTGCAGCACTACTGCTCCTTAATACCTCAACAAAGTCAGTGAATTTTGTCAAATTATCAGACTGAGCCTTAGGAATAAAAAAAATGGTTACTAATAGACGAAGCCTTGGCACTGCAGGATGAAAAGAGAAAGGGTATTCTTGATGTCCTATAACAAATGGTTTAGGATTACTAAGATCAGAAGCAGTAATGATGTACAGTTTTTAGTTTTCTCTTATAAGTCTGACATTGATCGATCTATTCAAATGGAAATCACTCGCCTTCTAAGATAGCACTCTACCTTAAAGGATTTATGGAGGAATTATCTAAAACATGAAGCCACGTCTAGGAAATTCAACCTAAGCTTTTTCCTGATGAAAGCAGTACACCACATTTGATCACTGGTAGATTCTGGCTTGCATTTCATGTCCTAGCAAACTAGAATATTTTTTAAAACTCAATATTAATGCTCCAACTTGCCAATCAAATTCATGTCTATTTTTTCTCATGTGCAATATAAAATGACCCTGCACAGACGAAATAAGATACTCATGTACAAATTATCACTTCAAATACTTGCAATTTTCTTGTTAAAGGAGTATTTTGTCAGAAAAACTGAAAATGAGCATCCCTAGTATCTCTGTTAATAAAATCAAGTCAAATAAATCACATGGGGTGAAGCTAACATAGAAATGAAAAATAGTTTCATTGGGTAACATACAGGGTATGTTTAACTGCCTTCTGTACTTACGGTAAATGAAAGGCTGGCTTCTAACCACTCTAATGAACAAAAGTCAGCAAGGGGTGATGCACCCATGCAGTTGTGTTTTCCATACTTTAATGCTGAAATAACCATATCCCAATTTCCCCAAAACACGATGAAGGAACAATTCTTTGCCACAGCCACACGAAGCTTGCAATATTAAGTTGGTACCAAAATCAAAGTTTTATCTTTTGATAGCCCTAGTGTCCAGACCAGCTTGTGCGCAAACTCTCTTCACCAAGACTAAAACACACGGGGGAAGAAATCACTAGTGTTTTCAACCTAAGAACTCAATCCAATTTATCGAGCACTAGGCCACACCTTCATTTGTTCAATTCGTTTTTTTCCTCCCATACATTAGATCCCCATACCTCCACACACCCGTGATTGCAAAATTAATAAACATGATGTATGACTCAATTCCAAATTAATTACCTGTATGAATCCTCTTTATTCATGCTTTATCATAATTTGACTTTCTTATTATACATAAACCATCAACCTTCTACAAACCCCTTCACATCTATTCTATCTTTATACAAACTCACATACATGGTAATAATAAATTTCGAAAACTAACATACCTCAATTCATCTGTAACCGGAAACCACGATCGGCAAAACAAAGCATTCCGACGAGCCCCAAAGAACAAAGACGTATTCCAACGGCAGCTCACACCATCATTCTCAACCACCATATCTAACGCCTCAGCAAGTGCCCTCCTTCTCTGCGTATCCTCTTCATCCCTCCGCAGAGCAAATTTCCTCCTCTTCCCCAACACCGTCGTAGTAGCTGCAGACGGCGAAGGCGGAGGAGACGAAGGTGACGTGGAGAACCTCCATCGAGACAGAAGAATTACCCATAGGAAAATAGACTGTATAAATATAATTAGTCTCCGGTAAGTTTGGTATGAAAAAACTGACCGGCGAAGATTTTTGAAAAGAGGAATTATCCGGCCACTTGCGCCGGAAGTAAGCTCCTCCACCGGCAATGAAGATTCCATCAAATGAAAGAGAAAAAAAAGGTGGAAATTGAAGAATGAAGCTTTTGTGAATGGGGTTTTTGTTGAGAAAAAAATGGAAAAGTATTTATTTATGGAGAAGATGATGACTTTTTCTTAACCAGGAAAATGTTGAAAGTACACGGTTTGATTCCGTGTGGAGAGGTACAGGGAGTTATATATGCAACTGCTGATGTGGCTGATTTTGAGTGGAGAGTCAAAATAGGAAGCTTGAAAAGAAGTTACTCTTGTCGCACTATTTCTTACCATGCTATAAACTAGTTAGGTCATACTAATAAATGCAAGTAATAACTATTCAATTCATTCCTATTTACTTGTCAGATTTTGAATTGGCACAAAAAAATGATTGAAATAATAAGTTCATCATTTTATTAATATTAATTGATAGAATTTCAAATATATTTATTCACTACATTTTTTCAAGGGATTAATTCACTGTAATAAATTAAGGGTATAAAAGAAAAAATATATATTATTCTTCCTTGATTTGTCAAAAATAATAAGTAAAATGCGAAATTAAATTAGAAAATATTTAATAGAAAGAGAGATCTAGTACTTA